TATTCACCATTCTATTTATAGGTTGACCGAAGAAAAATGTCCAACCGCGATGTGAGCTGATGGAATCGCCGCATCGAAAAATCCTACCGTCAGTAAGTTTTTATTTTTTGACTTTTTCTGGCCAATCGGGGTCCCTTAACATATTTTCTCAACGGAATGATTATAAAATCGACCGAAATCGGTCAAAACTGGCTGAAAACAGTCAGTTCGAGGCAAATCGCAGCCGTGGACGACGATGCTGTCGTGTTGAAATTCTGAAACTAGCCGAAAAAGATTTTTAACACCAATTTTGGATTTTTTGGGATATTTCTAGGTACTTGAAGTGTGTTTTAATATCTGAAAAGAAATTTAGGAAACCTAGGGATCACCAGTAGGCACAGTTGGAAGTTTAGTGTTTCGGACATCGATTCGGATAAGAATCTCTCACCCTATTCCCTGTTATGAAATTAAAATCCAATTATAAATAATAAGATATTTTGTATAATTTAAAAAATTTTGATAATTAATTAAAGGTTGCTAATAGAGCCGGAACCGGTTATTTATTATTGTTTGTCCTATTTTAACTGATTGTTTGATCCTACAATTTTAAATGAATAATAATATACTGGAATTAGTAAGACAATTCAGTTGTATTTCCTTTATGCATGTATTGCTTTTTTGTATGATTTACAGTTATATTGTGAAACTAAAAATTAAATATAAACGAGAAATTACTTGATTAAGTGAATGAATGAATTGTAACCTTACTAGATATTCTGAAAGATGGTGGACGGATTGGGTATATAAGGAATCCTACCGTGAACGTTACTTCATATCGGACGGGGTATCGAGTATTGGTATTTTAGCACTCATACCGGACAGGGTATTGAGGGATGGTATTTTTTGTGCTCATACAAGACGGGGTATGGGAACAGCCCGTTTCACCCTCATACCAGACGGAGAATTAAGAGATAGTATTTTTGGCGTTCGTACCAGACGGGGTATAGGGACGACCAGTTAGTTGATAATGTTAAATAAGAGTTCATGCGTAGTAGGGTCATCCCTATGGACCCTCATGGATACCAGTAGACAGATAAAAATGAAAAGTTGTTGGTCTGACTAAGTGAGAATGAGATTATGATGTTGTTTGTATTATTGCATTTATAGGTCGGTTTTGAAAATCTCGCTACGGTAAATATGCAATAAATGATTTTATTTATGATAAATGAATTTACTTAAATTAAGAGCTCTATTAATTGTTTTTAAGATTTTTACCAATTTTCATTTCTATATCGGTGAGTAGTGTGACATTCTTACTGGGTTAGTGTAGTTCACTCTTTCATTAAATATTTCAAATCAAAAGGACCAAGATCCAAATCCTGATCCATAAAAGGGTTGCGAATAGGATGTCTAGTTGTTCACTTTCTATTTATTTCTTTGATTTTTTGTTTATTCTTTTAGAATGATCATTCTCGTATCCCTATTGGGTATTCTAAATTATTGTTTAAGAAATGCAAATCCTAACTTTATTATTTCGTTTCCGCATTTAATTTATAATTTATTTCATTTTAAGTTCTGAGTTGTTACACTTTCTCCCGAAGTTACGGGGTTATTTTGCCGAATTCCTTAGAGAGAATTGTCTTACGCCCCTAAGTATTCTCTACCTACCCACCTGTGTTGGTTTCGAGTACAGGTACCCTTTTGTTGAAAATCGTTCGAACTTTTCCTGAAAATATAGCATGGGTTATTTCAGCGTCGTAGCACCTGGTAACATTGGCTTGTGGCATTTTCTCTACCCCTTTTAACCTTAAAAATTTACTTAATTTTAGTCGCAGTAATTTTTTAATATATTAATTAAAAAAATTTATAAATTTAATAAAGGGGTGAACTATTCAAAATATGTCACACATGAGTTATTCAATATATTCATTATTATGATATATTAAATTATATTAGTATTTTCTAGTAGAGTCAATATATCCATTGTTATGATATATAAAACATAATTATTGTGTTATAGATGAGAGAGGAGGGACAAATGTTGGAAAGTCAAAGATGAAGTGAGAGAGTGAAGGACTTAAAAGGGGTAAGAAAGAGAAAGAAATGATGAAACATAGGAATGTATTTTTTAAAGCATATAAATATATATATATATATATGATATTTCTAAAACTATAACTTGTTGGAATAGTTTGTGTTATAAATTTTAAAAATTATGTTAAAATAATTATTTATTAAAAAATTATGTAGTGCTATGTTCAAAAAACAAGAATGATATATTTAGTAAATATAACTTTTGAAATTTTGAGTATGAGTTTTTAGTAAGAGTGAAAATTACTTTTTAAAAACTACACATTATAAATTTTATATATAAACATATCAAAAAAAATAAATTTTAAATTTTACCCATTAAAAATATTTTTAAAAAGAAAAAAATTCAATTCAAAAGCTCAAAAAATGAAATTCATTCTTTTTTTTTATTTTATACATAGCTTTTTTTGTTCCACATTCAAAGTGGGTTAATTACAACTTAAGACCCCTATATCATACACACACACACACACACACACACACACATATATATATATTATATTATAAGATGCATACATCTCCCTTATATATGAACAAAACCAAACATCATCATTTTCTTCTTCCATGAATAAATTTATAGTACATTACTTTTTGGGTGACATGACAAATTTTACAAAAGAAAATGCCCTTTTATCTTTCTCTAATTGGAAAGGCATGCATGCCTCAATATCAAATTACAAAAATGAAATTCACACCATATCACAAAACATGTGCTTATGATTCAAGTATGGTTGACCGTGCCATGTAGTATTTATATGAATTTAATAGATTTTGAAAAGCCTTAGCTTTTGTTTGTATAATTATTATTTAATAATTTTTTCTTATCAAAATTAGTCCCCTTATTTGATTTTACTATGCATATATATATATATATATATGACCATGATCGAATTTGATGTGAATTATTATGGTCAAAGCTAAAATCATTACTCTAATTTTTTAATATGATTTATAAAAATTTTATTTATAATTTAAAAAAATAATAAATGATTAATTTCATTTATAAAGATTGTAACTATTATATAACATGATGGTAAATAAAAATATATATATATATATATATATTTAAAGATTGATAAGTTAGCTGAAAATTTTAAATTAGAAAATTTATATTAATATCTAATTTTTTTCTTATCTTCTTTGAATTTGTTTTTATTTTTTTTTAACGAGAACATAAAAAAATTACAATTCAAATTCATATCCTCGTAAAAAAAAAAAAGTAAAAGTTCATAGAATACGGTTAAAAAATTATTTACTCTAATTTACATATTTTTCTAGGAGAGATTTTTTTATATCTATATAATTAATGGTATTACATGGCATTACAAAATTAATTATATTTCATATATTAATAACATTATTAAATTTAACCAAACATAAGTATTTATATAATTTAATTGGTCGTGAATGTGCATGTGATTCTTCATATGTGTACTTCATCGTTATTAACGTCCATTTTTTGACCGCCTAATGCTTCATAGCTCTCTCTCTCTCTCTCTCTCTCTCTCTCTCTACATATATATATATATATGTATATATGTAGACACATGTAGTTGATTAGTTGAAGTAAAAACAAGAGGCTGTGCATGCATGGAACAAGAAGACATATCTGAAAACAAGAAGGTGATCAAAGGAGATGGTGAAGGAGAGATGAGCAAGGTGATGAAGGTGAGTTATCGAGGGGTAAGGCGCCGTCCATGGGGGAAATTCGCAGCAGAGATTCGTGACTCGAGTAGGCACGGAGCTCGTGTGTGGCTCGGAACATTTAACACGGCAGAAGAAGCTGCTAGAGCTTATGATAAAGCTGCATTTGCAATGAGAGGTTCCTCCGCCTTTCTCAATTTTCCCGATCCACTTTTTTCACATTCTCGTCTCGTTTCTTCATCTTCATCTTCGTCGTCAGTATCATCAACAACAAGATCATTACTACCGTCAGTAATATCATCGTCGTCGTCGTCGTCGACAATGTTATCGACTGAAAATATTGTTAATGGTAATGAAAATAATTATTGTTCTAATAAAAAAAGACGAAGAGTAGAAGAACATGGAAAGCAAGTACTCGTGTTTGAATGCGTTGATGATAAGCTATTAGATGAGCTGCTTGATATTGAGGATAAACCCAACAATAATCCCTGAAAGTATCCCTACTTACATTATATATATATATATATATATATATATATATATACATAACATAGTTATGTAATTGCAGTATATATGTGTGTGTATCGTGATCCTTATTTCTAGTTAGTGTAAATTTTATGTTTTCTCTGAGATTATTTGATGATCAAATCAAAACTCTTTGAAAATAATTTTTGTAAGTGTAAGGATTCAATTCTGCTTCATTGATACAAATTAAGCAAAATTTGCAAATTTAGATGATTAAGAGGTTGTTATGTATCTATATATGTGTGTGTGTGTATATATATATATATATATATATGATATCTATCTCGCATTACATATATAATTATGAATGTGTAGATTCTGAGTCATCAGTTTTATATTTTGTGTATTCTTGTTAAAAAGTTTTCGTATTATATATATATATATATATATATATATATATATTTGTTAAGAAATTGTATTATCATTTGTGTAATTATTTATTTTATCAGGATAATATGTAAAATTTGAGTTCTTCTACTAACCATACGTAGAAAACAACAAAGAGAAAATCAAAAAAACTACATAACAAATTTTACGAATAAGTACAAATTTCGTTATCTTTCAAAACAAATATCTCATTTAAAACATTTCTCGATAGACTTTTGGTAAACGAAAGATCGTGTTCAAACAATCAAGCATTCAAGTCCTCTTTCGCGACCGAAACTTACAAAGCAATCAAATCTAAGTACACGACATGTTTATAATTAAAGTTTTCAACTAATCAAACACTTAATCTCGTGATTTAAATTTTTCGGGTAACTAAATTTGCATCCATTCTAATTACTTAAAGAAGCCAAAAGATCCCGCCATCGCTACAAAAAGATTAAGAATCTAATCTTATCTCCTAGTAAATTAAGATTCTTTATTTAAAATTATCTATTGAAATTCAACTATAAAGAAACTATAAGTCTTTCACCATTTCTTGAACTGATTATTAGCTTCCAGCAAATTCAATAAAGCTTGAGAATTAAACCAGTTTATTCTACTCCAAATAGAAAAGCTACTAAAGATATATAGATACACACACACGCACATATATATATATATGTGTGTGAATGACAAGAATTATATGAAGGAGAAAATAGTTTACAGCTACAGATCCATTCAACAATCATTTGCAGAAGTAGATAAATCAATTATTGTTTGGGGACTTCATTGTAGTCTCTTGATTCTTAAAGATGAACAGCATAATTTAACTACAAAAAATTGTAATTGAAGCCAATTTAATGGAATTATAGATTATAAGCTACTCTCCAGAAGCTCCTGCAACAATTTATCATCCAAGTACTCCAACTCTATAACTTCATTTCCTCCTTCCGATTTCGAACAAGCCGGCTGCTGGCCCGACGAAGAAGACGAAGAATTTGCACGAGTCGGGATAGATGAACCCGGAATTGTTTGATGTTGATATTCATTCGGAAAATTCAGGATAGCAAGGTGTCCTCTAAACGCAAAAGCTGCTCGATCATACGCCCTTGCAGCTTCTTCCGCCGTGTTAAAAGTTCCTAGCCACAATCGAGCACCTTGCCTCGACGGATCCCTTATCTCCGCCGCGTATTTCCCCCACGGCCGCCGCCTTATTCCTCGGTATCGAGCCTCCTTCTTCCCACTATCTTCCATCAATTTTTCCCTACAAATGAATATATAATTTTGCACAACTAATTGTTACCAGTGATGAGAAAATGAAAAAATTTGGTGGGAATTATGTGAACGTTACAATATAAAAGTGATATGACATATGAATGTATATATACGTATGTGTGTGCATGTATGTATGTAATTTCAATAGATGGTCAAGGGAGTCCAAGAAGACAGCGAAAAATAATGAAGAATTTAAAGGCGTCATATTTGACGGGGGAATATGGTTGCTGCTTAAAAACTTTCTATATACATATATATATCATTA